GGCTTTAAAACGCTTAAGCGTTTTAAAGACGTTGAATTTCCTATTAAAAATTCTCATTTGTATGAGAAATTCCTGTGTCCAATACACACATATGAATCATACAAGACATAAAGGAACAAATAATAACCATATAAGAACCATATAAGATCTATGTAAGAACTATATAAGATATATAAGAACTATATAAGATATATAAGAACATACCAGCACCACATAAGAAACTTGAAAGAAGTTTCTTATCATTAACGCACCTCCCCGTCTGGCCAACATACCCCTCTCTTGCGGGAGAGTGTATGTTGGCCAGACGGGGAGGTGCATTAATGATAGAATCAGGGAGCACTCTGCGTCAACTAGGCAATCCCCGTCTGGCCACTTGGCAGTGCACTGTGATCGATGCGAGTGTGACCCAAAGTTTGACGAAACAAGAATTGTTGGAAGCGGCGAAACAAAAATCGCTCGCGAAATCTTGGAGGCCTTCACCATACGATATCGTGGCACCGATGTCTGTGTCAGCGCCCCATCTTTATCTCTATCTGATAGGGAGTATACGTTCCTTCAAAATGAACGTGTCACGTAGGAAAACGCGCTAGGCTTCGTTCTATCTTTATTTCTTACCCATGCGCACGTGTACATTGGGCATAGATTCCTTTTCTGTGTTTCTCTAAAATAAAGTTCAGTTGAAAGTGCGCCTCGTCCTGTCTGCTTCTCTCTTTGTGTCCTCGTTATTTGGCGCCTCACTTCAAGCATGTACAACCAACTAGCCCAAATCGCCGTTCTAATTCTTATATTCTTATATGGTTCTTATATGTTCCATATATAGTTCTTATATGGTTCTTATATGTTCTTATATATCTTGTATGATTCATATGTGTTTATTGGACACAATAAATTTTTTATACAAATGACTTTTTTCACTAGGTTTGGTGTGTTATTCACAAATCGGATGACTTGGGGCGACCATACAAACTACGTAGCGTCAAAACGATCAAACATCGAAGGCTTAACCTATACACATTGTCAGACTTTACCTACTACTGTCAAACTTCTTCTATAAAACAGACACCTCTATTCGCACTTAAATTACTGCCATTCAGTGTGGGAAAATACCCCTCTCAAAAACTCACAAAAATTGTATACGTTACAAAAAAATGGGAATATAGAAAACGTTTCAGATAACCACCCCTCTTCTCAACTGTTTCCCTAGTAAAGAATCTTTTATGTATAAAATATTCTTGGTCCAGTTAACGCATATGATTAAATAAGATCAAATAGGAGCATACGAGCACCTTATAAGAATATATAAGGTGTATAAACTGATAAGAAGTTTCTTATAACTTCTTATATAACCTTATATTGTTCTTATGTGTTCTTATAAGGTTCTTGTGTGGTCTTATATGATCTTATTTAATCATAGGCGTGTATTGGAGGAAGAAAATTCTTTTACATAAAATAGTTTGTACTAGGGTTCAGAAAAATTGTATAGTGCACATTCACAATATATATGCGTATCATTTAAGCATAGTCTATAAGCACGAAACATTAAATCATAGGCATTTTCTTGTTCGAGTAGCCCGTTTATCTAGAAAAACGGTAACATATCCCACACATAGCACCGATATTTGGAACATTTATTCGTGCAAAGCAAGTTACGGAAAAGAAATGATACAACGCAAATTTCCAGACTTGATGAGTTCCGAAAAATTGCAATGTAGAATGAATATTGAAAAAAAAATTTTTTTTTTTGTATTTATAGTTATTATTCGTGTTATGTCATTGTGCTCTATAAATTTGCTTCTGCTTAAATCTTTTGTATAATGTTGTTGTTGTTTTTTTTTTGCAGAGCGCCTTTGCTCAATGTAAGTAGTGTACTAAATGCCTTCGTGATATATAAGAGTAAAAATTTCTGCGGAGGGGAAAGGGAGCTCGTCAAGCTGATCTTTCAGCTATTTTACCCAACGTCCCCCATCGCTTTGATGGGAAATAAAGGTATATTTATTAAAGGTATCAATATTATTATCTAGACAAACAAAACGCCCCTCATACCTGTGAACTGGATTCTTTCAGGCATATACCTCAATCGAGCGCAGTGCACAAATTGTGCACGAGCGCTGCGTCAGTGCTTGGCTTGTAAGTTCAACCCGTGCATTAATGACTGAACGCGAGCCCGAGCCGAGCGCTGACGTAACGTTCGGATATGTCAGCCGAACTCTGCGTTAGAAACGAACGTCAAACAAGTAATTCATATTTTTGTTGTCACCATCGACATGGTTCTCAACTGAACAACAAGGGGCGCAACGATTGAATTTCACCCGCAGTGGACCATTTCCGAGAAGCGTACTGCGCACGCGCGAGCGCCCGATGCCAAGCGGCGGAAGTCGGCACGAAAAATCGAGGAAATTCGGAAGGAGGCTGTGGATCAGTGAGTAGAACACGGAATCGCAGCATACATATAACTGTGTTTCACAAAAGAAAGAAAGTGGACCGAAATAAAAACACGACGTTTGGGTGGACGCCACGCACGCCCCTCTTTAAAGTCGCGTTGGGCACGCGCTGCAGCTCAGAGAGCGAAGAAACTGGTAGCGTAGCTCTCATTATCGATTGGTAGCGCAGGTAGGTCACTTCCTAGATTTTTAGTTCGTGCAGCCACCGCCTGTTCCGTCGGTATGTGGAAAAGGTTCATTATTCGATTTCAATGTAGATATAAGGCTCACTGCGGTTTTTACAGGTACAACAGTTGACAACATTGGCGGAGCCGGCTGGGCTGATGGTGCTAGTTTTCAAAAACGGAACTTTTGGCGTGATTGCAGAACCAGCCGGAAGACCCCATCATGTTCTTTCCGCAGAACGTGCCTCGTAATGCGTGCGAGCTTGTTGTCGTATAACCTTCTTTTGTATAATGCCTGGAACGTGTTTCTGACGGGCGTGTTTTCCGTGTCATAAAAATTCGTCTGAACGATTTTTCCCGATGCCATCAAAGAAGTGTCATGTGGCGTTGATGAAGCGTTATTTGACCCTCTGCAGCAGGTTCTGTAGCAGGCAAATTATTGGTTTGGAGCAGCCACTAACGCTTTTCGAGCAGATGCCGAAATCTATTAGCATATCACTAAACAATGAAAATAAAGGAATTCCATCGCCAAATAAGTTAATCTGTTAAGGTGGCGATGCATGCGAGTTGGTTCATGACTATGCTAAAAACTTTGAGCAACATCGAGAAACTTCTACTTGTCTTTGTATTGTTTCTTTTTCGCTGTTTCTCGAGAAAGTTAATCTATAATAAGGATTGAGGGCTCGTCTTTGATAATGGAGAATATTACTTATTACCTTTTTTATCGGGTGCATATGGGTGCAAGAGGAACACAGAATCATTTTCTTTTTTAGAAATAAGGCTCTGGTAGGCTTTGTACGTTCTCACTTATTATGGGTATTAAAAAAATGGTTGAAAAATTAATCAGCTGAACACTTCAGATGGGATAAAGCCTCTCTCTCTTGCCCCTCTTTCACTCAGTAGTCTATTTAACCTGTAAATATAATTTGCGTCAAATGCCAGCAAAACCCAGCATATTCGCTAACATGAATATTATTAAAAACACGTCTCCCACGTTTTGTGAACCTACCAAACTCAAGACACTAATGTCCTGAACTGCAAAAACAACCAGGTTGAGGGACACCCAAAGAATAGGACACAGCGGGGACGAAAGACGACGTACACTTTCATGAAGTAAAGTGCACGTCGTCCCTCGTCCCACCTGTGTCTCATTCTTTTGGTGTTCCTCAACTCAACCACCAAACTCACCAGTATACAAAAAAAAAAAAAGCATTTACAACTTATATGAAGGCCTACACTCGTGTTTTAAATATGGCACTACTCTTGAGCGGCTTCGCAACCATAGTTAAGTCAGTTTGCTGCTCTGTCATTCAACAGTTGCACAGGAACTACACCGTTTATTTAATTATAGACACGTGTATTTTGTTTTTCGGTGCCGCTCTTTAAAATTAGAGATCGACCTACAATAAATACCAAAAAAGGTCCACTGGTTACAATTCTGAGCATAATTACTGTTCCTATCACGCTCACACAGGCACTCCCCCGTGACAACCGCTGTTCCTTGGACTCGGGTGTAAGGCGGTGAAGCTCGACTCGCGCGCGCTGCTGAGAGGAGGTGAAGGTTGACCTGAGGGGCGCAAATACCACGGTACACTGTAGCCACGGCACGGAGGCGTGTAGCAGGCATGATAATGGAGTGATCGATCAGGATTACAAGAACCTGGTTCTGCTTTATTTCAATAGCCGCCATCCTAGTACATGGCAAAGTTTTCTCGCGACTTTTAGGTTCTGACATCGCCGACATCGTCTGGAAATTTAGACGATGTCGACGATCAACCGGCCAGCACGATTTACGAGGAATCTATATTGTTTTACCTTTAAGTCAAATCAGTCGACGCTACGAGCCAATGGGACCGATGAGACAGCGTCAAAGCACGACATCACGGGATTCATCATCTTCCTTTACGCGTATTTTCATCGGCTAAACTAATTCAGTGCAGCGAATGTCCCATAACTGGCGCGTTTAGTGTGTGTGTGTGTTCGTGGTTGTATGTGTTCGATTTGTCGCCACGCCGCTGACCAATCGCAGCAGACGGCGTTGCCCCGGTCCCTTGGTCCCGCTTGGTCCCGCCGTGTAGCATAGGGCCACAGCTTGACTGTCCGACCTTAGGCTATAGCAGCCTAAGGTTGGAACCTCGCGACGTCATTGACACTCGCTTTCGCTCGTACTTTTCGCCGGAACTTCTAGCACCAACCGCCAGGGTCGCGACATCCGGCAACATGACACGGCAGCTTCAGTGACGCCATTTGTTAACGCTACTTCGAGACCACTTTTGGTGCAGAGGTGGGATAGGACGCTAAACTCATTAGTTAAAGGCAAGTTCCAGGCACCTTACCTTTACAAAGGCGGTCTACAGTATCTAGGGGCCTTAGCAATGACGACGCATACGCTCACCTGCTCCGGGACCAGGATTCGACGATCCGGGGACGTGGCCGAATATGCCACCCAGGAAGCCGAGCGGGTTAGGCGCCCGGCTCTCCCTCGGCCCGTGTCCTAAGACAATGTGTGCATACCAGTAAGAAACGCCTCGAGGGAAACGGAACAGGGACGCGCATTGCACCGAGGCAACACCTCCAGGACAACAAGGCCTTAGTGTTGAAGTTTCTACGTCCTCTACAGGAGACTAGTGTCGGGCTGCGTTAGAGTTCGACATTTGGAAGCACGAATCGCAAGCCCCGAATGCTGACACAGTACTCGTGAACATCCTATTCCACGCGCTTGCTATCTTGGAACCCTACCGAAAAATCCGGTATAACTTTTCGCTATCCGAATTATGAAACCGGAATTCTAGCGGGACTCTATCTGGATTTTAGGTTTTCAGAAATTATTCCTTCGTCTGCAATCTGGATTTCGGGAATAGTGAAACGTCATATTAGATTTTTTGGTAAGGAAGTGTCGCGCTACCTCAATGAGCGGCCATGTTTCTCATGACCATAGCAACATACGAAGGTCATATTGAGGCACTGTGTTAATAACAACGAAGCACATATCAGCAATGAGTCGTACCGTCGCATTTACTTGCCAGCGGTTCCAGTTTACGCTACCGGCATCAGAGTAATAAAAAAAAAAAGTTTCATGATCTTCTTTTATCCGATACGTCGAAACAAGCACGCAATCTAATAATAACTCGCCCTAATTTCTTAAATCTTATCACGTACCAACCATCCCCCCAAAAAAACTCCGCGTTTCAAGTTCTTTAAAAGGCGGATTTCTGAGCTACCCAAAAAAACTGAACGTAATTTCCGAATACCCGGCCTTACTCTTCCCGGTATGCTATTTATTAATCTCTGAATTAAAAATAGCTGCTGAGAAAATGACAAAAATGTACACCAAAACAAACAGAAAAATTTCCCGCGTTCTCCAGTTGGGTGACGTAACATGTTGTATAAACTGCAGGTCGAGCAGGCGGCTTAAGAAAACCACAATTTTGCACGTTTTCTTTTATCGTATTGCTGATGAAGTTTTTTTTTTTCATCGTTCATTTCACATTTACAAACTCGTTATAACTAGGGTTCCGTGTTTTTGAATAAATTTAAAAAAATCCAAAAAACATTCGCGGGTAAATGTTCCGTCAATTCGGATTTATCCGAAAAACTTCCAATTTCGAGGTCGCAGCAACAAAATAAACAGCAAAAAAGACGAAGTTTTAGAACTTTATTAAAGCACAAGGTCAGTGGTTCAGTGGTCCCGAGGAGATTCTACTTCAGTTTCCTTTCAAATCTAGAAGTACTGACAAAAGGGGTTTGTCTTTCGGCACGTCGAGCTTCCTTCAGGACAACGGATGATGGCAGGCACGTAGCCAAGGGGGCGTGGGGCCTGGCCTTCCCCCCAAAAATCTTCCATTTTGCTGGGACCTCCTCTCCCCCCTCCCCCTCATACAGCATTTTGTCATGGGTGCCCCACCCCCCCCAACCAACCCCCGAAACAAAATCCTGGCTACGTGCCTGGATGATGGTACCCGGACTTTATTTAATTTGTTCTTGATTTTTTTTTTTTTGTAATTTTATGCAGTAAAGTAAGCTCAGAATTTAAAGAATTGGGAATCTAACAAAAATTAACTCCGATAAACCCCGAATCCTTCGAAAACACCCTCCGAATTTCACGAGAAAGAAACTCCGAAAACACGAAATCCTTGTTAGAGCCTGCCGGGAACGAGCTGTGCTGCCCGCCTATTACAACATATGACGTCACGTTTTAGAGTTTCCAGTAACCAGTGTGTTCTAAAGAAAGTGACCGCGCGGAAAGCCTTTTAGATATCGCGTTCGTGTTTGACCTAGTTTAGATAGTGTAATCTTATTCTAGAATTTAGGGAAATTTAATGTTTATACTTGATTATATTTTGCTTAGTAGTGACTACAAAGAGTTTAGTGTTAAGGTACTAGACGGAATCTCTGATCATAAACTGGTGCTGCTAGAGCTACCCCTACATTTCTACAGGCCTCAAGTTATGAAGACTATGGTGCTTGATCTCAATAATGCAGATGACGTTAGTATTATAGATGCATTGGATTGGTCGCTTGATAAGTTAACTGATCATTCAGAGCATTGCAACGCTAATATACATAAGATTTAGCATCTTTTTAAAACTATTGCGCAGAAGTGTCGAACCAATTATGTTCCAGATAGATTATTAAGCGCGGGCGGCCTTGGATTAATCGTGACATAATACATTTGAAACGTAGGATCGCGCGTGTTCGGAAAAGGACCAAGGCCAAAGGATCAGAGATAAGAAAACAAGCTGTTACAATTCTGTCCCGGAAACTAAAACGTATGTCATCTAAGGCAAGCTTTCGCTATCATAATACAACTTTAGAAATATTCCTGAAATCGTCTCCAGCGAAGTTTTGGCAATATTTATCAGTCAAACTAGAGCCTGGTACTTGTTTTAAAATAAACGCCGAGATCGTTAAAAAGCCCCAAAAATTGCCGCCAGTTTTAATTAACGTTTTAAATTTGTTTTTACTCGCCATGATGGACGGCTACCAAATTACTCTGCTGATCAGGCTCTGCACGAGTTGTGTGAGCTAATTTCAACTGAAGAAGGAATCCTTAATTTGCTTCCATACATCAATCCTAAAACGTCGATGGGGCCAGATTTAATTCGAAATGCTTTTCTGGGCGTTCCTCTGAGTGTATGGCCGAGTATTTGTTGATAATATTCCGAAAATCATTAGAATGGAGTGCTGTTCCTAAAGAATGGAAAATAGCTAAAATTATACACGTTTTTAAATCGGGCGGCAAAAAAGATGTTGCAGAACTATAGGCCCATTTCCATAACGATTCAGTGTTGTAAAATGTTAGAACATGTGTCTAGGCACATTTTTAAATATCTTAGCGGCAAGTCAGCATGGATTTAGACGAGGCCTGTCTACAGTAACCCAGTTAATAGAAATAAAGCATGATCTTGGTCAGGTAATAAAGAGCACACGTCACGCAGATGTTTTATTCTTGGATCTTAGTAAAGCCTTCGATAAAGTTCCTCGTAACAAGCTTCTTCTAAAACTGAATACCATACTTAAATAAATTAGTGAAATGGTTAACCTCACACCTAGAAGGAAGAGAACCGTACGTTCATTTTAAAGGTTATGAATCTGACTCCTTGCCCGTTGACTCCGGCGTGCCTTGGGGCCCTTGCTTTTCCTATTCTATAGGGCGTTTCAAGTCACCAGGCTCGATCTAAAATGGACCGTAAAAATCGACGCCTGCACGTAGCCATCTAAACTTTTCGTCAAAGGTGTATTTTGCAGGTCGGTTTTTTCTTGTAAAACTGCAAAGCGCAGTTCTCTTTTAGTAAAACATAGGGCCAAGAAATATGCCAGGGTCTACGGCGGGCGGTGACCCAGATGACCAAGTCCAGTAGCGGGGTGTGTTTGGCGTTCGTATCGATAGATGGCGCCGGGAGCAGCGTCTAAAGGTGCAGCCGACCAGCAAAAGATAGCAGACGACACGCAGACGAAATCCGTTGGCAGCAAAAGCGCCGCCGTTATGCAGACGCGTTTTTTTACTTTAAGTTTTACCTTTATTGTTGGCATTTATTTTTTAACCAAAGGTACATTTCATAAAAATTATATTCATTTTAATAAACCACGGTTGTCGCGAGCCGTCGCAAATAGTCGGGATAAGGAGGTAGCGCCATCTATCAATACGAACGCCAAACACACCCCGCTACTGGACCCCTGTCGTCTGCGTTGCGGCCGCCGTAGACGCTGGAAAGTTTCTCGGCCTTATTTTTGACAGAAAGAGAGCTACGCTTTGTGATTTTATAAGAAAAAACCGACCTGTGAATTACACCTTTGATGAAAAGTTTAGATGGCTACGTGCAGGCGTCGATTTTTTCGGTCCATTTTAGATCGAGCCTGGTGACTTGAACCACCCTATATATGAACGATATAACTAAAAACATAGATGTCAACGTTAAATTATTCGCAGACGATTGCATTTTATACCAAAACTTTAACTCCTATCAAGACCAAATATTTTTGAATAATTGCTTAGAAAGGATACTGTTTTGGTATCGGGAATGGCAAAGGAAGCTAAATACTTCAAAAACTGTTTCAATGTCCATTACACGGAAAAGGTGTCCCCTGGAGTTCTTCTATTCCATTGATCGTCAACCTATTTAGTGCATCCAAGAGTACAAGTACTTGGGGTTATATTTTAGCAATAAACTCTAATGGGACAAACACATTTATTAGAGTACAACAAAAGCGACCCAGCGGCTTTGGGCCTTAAAACGTCTCCTGAGGCACTCTTCTCCCAACACAAAACGTACAGTCTATAAAAGGCTAATTTAAGAATATGAATTAAATATTAAGGCCAATTTTAGAATATGCAAATGTTGTCTGGGACCCGTTCACTAAAATTAATATAAATAAGCTAGACGGTGTACAAAGGAAGGCAATACGGTTCGTTTACAACAAATATGAAATACGAAGCTCCCCTTCAGAAATGTTGCAATAAGTTCACCTGCTAACATTAAGCGAAAGAAAGCGGATAGATAGATTAAAGATACTATTTTTAATGATTCAGGGTAAATTAAACATCGACACTTCAAGGTACATTACATTTTCAGGCAGATTAAAAACTAGATCATCTTGTGCACGTTCAATACAGGAGTGTCAAGTACGATTGGACACATTCAAAGACTCCTTTTTCCTTAGGTCCATTGTTGAATGGGACAAGCCGTACGCTGATGTCACCAATTCAGAATCTATCGACGATTTTATCGATGAAGCCACTGTCTCTTTTTTTTTTAATGGATGAAATTAATTTTTCTCGCGTTCAGATCACTTGTTCCTATTTATTGTCTTGTAGGCGGGGTGCTATAAATGTTGTATAATGTTTTGGGCCACATTTCTGCACGCTGATGTAATCAATTCAGAACAAGTTGCACGCTGATGTGACAAATTCATACTCTTTGTCTTTTCAATATTTATTGCATTGTTTATGGGTGCTATATATATTGTATAATGTTTTGGGCCACATTATCCCTGGTGTTCAATTGGATTCTCTTGTTGTTGTTGTTTTTGTTTTTTTTTGTATTGTTGTGCCTTTCTTTTTACGGCCCTTTGGGCAAGGGAGTATCGTTAAATAATAAAACAAAGCCTCTCTGCCTCTCAGACTAAAGTTGAAAATTCATTAACTACGCGAGAAAAAAAAATTATTGTGACTTGTGATATCAAATAGCACTAGTTCAGATGTGTGTATTGATGTGTTTCACCAATTTCGATGCAAATCGGCGACTACAAAAAGTTCGCCGGTACTCCCCTTTTACGACCACATTCGACCAACCCCATTTCTTTCATCTTTCTCACACAATTGCAGAATAGAACTACCTCTCCAGATTGATTGCAACTATCACTTATCCTAATTTACTTAAATATGACTTTAAAAAACATTGTCACAGTGGTCCCTGACCTGTTTGTGAGTGATTTTTACCGAGTCTTTCCTAATTATTTTGAAGCTGACATGTTTTATGCTTTCCTCCTGTGCAGTGCCTTCGGGCCCCGAAGGTAGTACTGTTGTGTAATTTTGTATGTTTTTGCCTTCTTCGGGGGTTCGAGCATCTTTAAGGCACGGCGCATGCCCCCTACCGGGGTCGATGGGCCTCAAGTGGAGGCGAACGTGAACGTTGTAACCTTACACCTGTTTAGAGAGCTCCATGTATAACTTCCTCGTCTACAAAGGTGCTTTGTATTGTTTACAGCTGCTCTTGCAGACTTCGTACGGAATGTGTCCTGTTTCGAGTACGCGCATTATGCCGTGGATGGCACGTCCCATCCCGTGTCGTCGACCTTTCGGGGTTGTACCGGGAATCGGCTATTGTGGACACGAGAGGTATGTTAAGGACTTGTGCGTGCGTTTGTAGGGGTCAATAATTGAGATGTTTACAGAGTGGGCGGCCAAGGGCCGTTTTGTTTTGGCAGCGCCAAGTGAACTCGTTATTTGACTTTGCTTGTCGGGATATGTGTAGCCGTCCTTCGGAGACGAGAGTGCGTGTAAGAGGGAGAAAGTGAAAGAGAGGAAGAGAGGAGGGTAGCTATGCTGGGAGCGTGAGATTTGAGAAAGGAGAGTCGACTACGAGATTTCAGAGGAGACGTATCGAAAGCGATGCAGGAGGAGTTGAGATAACAACCCCATCGCGAGAGCGATGCGGAGAAAAACAATGGAGAAAGTGGAGATGTGCCATTTATAGAGTAAAACGGCAGAGGCCATCGAGTTTTGAGAACGAGTGAACTTTAACTATGTTGTAATTTTTGTGTATATATACCTGTATATTAAACCAAGCTATTCAATCCCAAAAGTCCACGATCCCGACCTCCTTTAAACCCAAGAGAAGAAACCCTCGGCTGGCAATCGGCGACAACGACCTCAGCACAAACCCCGAAGACAACGAGCGACTTCACGTGAAACACTTTACAAGTGTAATGCGCACTAAATAAATAGACAGCACCAAAGACCACAAAGTTTATTGCGGCTTACATCTTTTGCACACGCATCCTGACACAGGGATGACAGACATAGATGCTACTGAGAGCTTCTCTGTTGACGTGCAATGTCGCGGCCTATTTGTTTTTGTCTCTTCCACTGATCTCTATTATAAGGGACTTGTTATAAGGGGAATGTTTTTATCCGCTCATAATGATGCATGACGGGGTCATTTTCATAGAGTGACAGGACTGGGTTATTAGCAATTTATAACCGTCACCGGAATGCTGGTGAACCTTGAACGCAGTCTATATTCCTTGCGGTTGTTATTTTGCTTTGAATCGTCGCTTGTTTTTACCCACCTGCTGCACCAGATGTTTGGGACTGAAATGTAGCGAAGTTGGACATCGTTCACTGATGAAGAAAAATGTGCTAGCTAAGGCAATTACACTTTGGCAATGTTAAGGTACATACTATTCGGTACGACCCGAGTAACCAAAGTGTTCCGTGTTATTTTCCGGCGAAGAGAAAATGCACGCGTGTTTTGCCATAGGATTGCACAAGAGCACCGCAAAAGTAGACTGGTTGTTGTCTGCTTCAATTTGCATCACGGAAGTCGCATAGACACTAGCGGCAGTTGAACCTTTAGCGCCCATTTTAATAACCTGGCCGAATATGGGTCAAGAGTTATATTGTATCAAGGGATCCCATATGAATGAATAAAAAAGGGCCCTTTACTCGTTGGACCTCTAGACTCATTGGATTATTTGAACCGATGAGTCAGTGACTCGCCGAACCTCTTGACGCATATCGAATCTCTTAGCACGTTAGATCTTTTGACTCTTGAGCCTCTTGACTCGACTGTCACGTGACTTTGAATTTCTTGACTAAAAGAGCCTCCTCCACCAAAGGAAGAAATCCTGGGCCGGTTCGCTTATCTCGCGGCTGCGACCACGGGTGCGGCCAAGAGGAATTTTTATGTCACGTGACCAGCTCCATGGGGAAATGGAAGTACCTAGCGTCCCTGCCTAATGGAAGAGAAATCCTTGTCGCTTCAAGCACACTACTTCGATTTCGCTCGCAAAAACTGAGCGCACAGGCTTTCTATTCGAGTTCAAATAACTGCAGCCTACACTTGTGGAGCGGCATAGAAGTTACGGCCAGGGAAGGTGAATATGAGCCAAAATAAAAGAGAAATCACGCGAGATAAAGGCAGTGGCATTGTATTTACATATCTGCGCCAGCGTCGCGATTTCAACTATACTGAAGTCGAGATACAAAAGAGCCGGAACTGGCCGTTGCGGCGTGAAAGTTCCGGGTTGAATTGTACCACAGAATAACTTTTTATTTTTTATTTTGGGGAAGTTTTTAATTTCTGAATTGACTCAACTGCAGTGTGCATTAGTACTAAATAGGCGCCTGCTGTTATTGAAAAAGAGTTGTAGCAAGCGCGTTGTATATTTTAAACACACATAAAATTGTACCTGGAATGAAGAGCGTGCTGGTAAGTATAATGTAAATAATGGGAAGAACACAAAACATAGGGACGTCCCTTGTATGACTGTCTTTCCACGCTGTAGATACGAAGACTCTCTACAGACACATTCGACGCGAACATGAAGCAAACATGCTTTGAGGGTGCTTCAGGAGTGTCCGCAGATGCTTCTGTCATACACGTCTGCGGCGAACGTCTTTTGTATGATGCACGAACGGTGTCTGCGGCTAAATGCTCACGAGGGATTCCCTTTCTAAACGAAATGCAATAAGACGACAGTGGAAAAGGCCCCGATACCCACCGGCAGGTCCGTTCATGATGGGACAGCAGACGATTGGCGTTAGGAGTTCAAAGCCGCAGACGACGGGGAAGTTGAGCCTGATGATACCGTGCAGCGTTTCTTTGCACTTGACCATGGGCATGCAGACGCCGTCGCTGAATCCAGGTCCGAAGGGGTTCTTGGCCTGGCAGGGACCGCGTTCCACTGTGTGAACGGAACATTCAGTCAATGTCCCTCCCTTTGGTATACACAAGAGCTTCGCAGCCACAGTCATTGAGGGATTATGTTGTTAGCTTTGTGCAGCATTTGGAGATCACGTATGGCTGTTCGACATGCTGACCTCGACGCAAAAGAAATGCGGATATATTTCTTCAACCTTGTAAAACAAGTACAGAGTGTGTATTTGAACTGTGAACCTGAACCGGAGTGGACTAGTATTTTAAAATCACTCCTCGAAATGCGTGACTTTTTAATACGCTGTGCAAAAGAGCTGTACAACGCTGTTAGAATGACATGAATGTTGGTGTAACTACCATGCAATAAAGAAGAAAAAAAAAGGGGGGGGGGGATCGGTGGCCGAGTGGTCTAGCGCACACCAGCTCGGAGCACGTGGAGCGAAAGCTCGCGCTGCAGAACCCAGGGATCCTGGGTTCGAGCCTCACCCCTGCCCGTTTCGATCTGGATGAGCATCGTACCGGCGTGCAGTCGTGTATCACTACTGCGTGATGCACGTTAAAGACGCCAGGCTAGCGGCTGTAGCGCACTGGCTAAATTTCTCATCTACAGCTGGGAGACTCGTCGCCCCTGTGAGGCAGAGCAAGTTCTAGGCTGTATAAACACACACACAACCCAATTTTTTTTTCACAGTCATTGAATAGCTGGAGAGATGCATACGGCTGGACCATAGTCACAAAATTAGTTATAGGACTATTTTTCTCGGCAAGGGGGTGCCGTAGCATACTCGTGAAGGGACCTCAAAAAAGACACCTCGACTAGCGTCCGTGAGACGTAACCATTTAATGTTGAGGCAAGCGGCTTTTTTAGCGTCCCATCATGCACGCTCCACGGACTCCTACTACTGCGTTTCACCTTAGGATGCGATGGACGCTGCGAGCTACACGAGCCAATCCGTAGTTCGTAGCTTGTCTCGTGACTTCTCGCTCTCCGCGTCGCTCCGCCCAACAGGAGGGACACGTGACACCCTGCGAGCAATGAATTGGCTCCGGTAGCTCGTAGCGTCCTTTACGGTCCATCGTGAGGTGAAACAGAGCATAGAGTCTGTCAGTGTCACTCTTCGTCTGTCCACGCGCAGTAACACGGCGCTTGCAAAGAACGTAACACGACGCACAACAAAAACGCGACCTAAAACTATCCGATTTTGCTCGCCAGGGGCGCTGCTCGAAATTTGAGAGGTGCATCGGTCTATACGCTTTAGATCAACGACACTTCAACAATCTTGGTGCTCAAAACAATGGTTGCCAGTTATCCGGGGCATTATCTGAAATTGCAGGAAACGGTTTTCGTCCTCGAGACATGTCAGAACAGTTCGCAACAAAGCAATGCGGAACGCAAGTTCGTCTGCCTCGTTTGCAGGGGTTGTGGTGACGACAGAACGCCGAGCTCTGATTGGCTCTGATCGAAGGATAGTGGGTAGACCTCAAAGCAACCTGCCTTGAGGTCTGCCCACTATCCTTCAATCAGAGCCAATCAGAGCTTGACGTCTTTCTGACGTTACGACAACCTCTGCAAACGAAGCAGACGAACTTGCGCTCCGCATACAATATCGCTCGAGCTTCTGGACTCCGCGTCTCAAGCTCGGGACGCCGCATTTTTTAATTGTAACGATCGTCATCTTGTGCCCGCAACGTGCTACGCACAAAAATGGCGGCGCCCGCAAGGAAATCGGGGAACGGAATGCCGATGCACAAAGCGTGCCCCATTTAGCATGGCTCGTGTATCATATAAATACAAGGATGCGCCTCAAGGGTGTTCGAAGCTTGTTTCCTCTATACATATGTATGCTTAGAAGATGTTTGCCGACAGCCTTCCTTATTACCTATGTGCCAGGACCGGAATACAAAGAAGAACTCATCAGACAGCGTCAGCAGACGGGTTTCGTGCGTGATGTATTGGCAGTGTGGCCGCTACTTTAAGCCTGGCGGCGGCTTGCTCCACATAGCCAGTGCTTTTTTTTTTTTTTTTTCATATCCTTTCTTTACGCGTACACAACGTACAAAACATTAGCGTTACGTTTTCGACGATAATGTTGCTGAAAGGAATTACGAGCCATCTGACAGAAGGGGCTCTTCGCAACCGGGTGCGCACGGTTGCGAAGATCCTTTCAGCCAATTCAGCTGAAAGGATCGATTCGGCTGAACGCTCAGAATTGGCTAAATGCCCAATTTCTATCACTGAATTACCCGAGCATCGAGGAGATTCCTGGGAATGTAATTACACGCGCCGCACTCGCTCGCATACGCAGTATACAATATTCAAAATAAGGCTTTGACGAACGCGCGTGAAAGATAAACTTTCTTTTAGGCATTTGCTTTATAACAGTTAATACTGCAGAAGCCAGCACGTTCAGCGCGTCTAACTACTCTCGCAGCACGCTCCTTGGTGCTTGGGGAATTTAGAAAAAGGTATATCGACCAGAACGCTCGCGGGGAGATCGGTGGCCGAGTGGGCTGGAGAACGCCAGCTCGGAGCACGTGGTGCGAAACCCCGCGCTGGAGAACCCAGGGATCCCTAAAGCTTCTTCATGTTTTAAAAGTACCGCAAACTGCGTCAATGCACGAGGCACGTGCAACGTGCAGCCGTTGGGAAGGTCATGGCGGCACAGCGCAGCACTGAGCCAAATTTCAGACGCCATGCTCTTCCGAGGAGTGGCGTGCGGCCCGTGTCTCCAGCATTTCCACATGAATTAATGGTGCCACTTTTCCCAGGATAAAAAGGCGTTAGGGATCCTGGGCTCAATCCCCACCCCTGCCCGTTTCAATCTGAATGAGCGTCGTACCGGCGTGCGGTCGTGTAACACTGCTGCGTGGTGCACGTTAAAGTCCCCGGGCTAGCGGTTGTAGTGCAGTGACGAAAATTCCCATCTTCATCTGAGACACCAGAAGCCCATTGTGGCTAACTCACCTCAGGCTGTGTGAACACACACACAACACAATTAATTACCAGAGCGCTCTAACTTGGCAAATTGAAGATTCTAGCGAAATCGGGCCAACCGAATTGTAGCGTCCTGCCGAATTGTTCCTTTCAGCCAAATGGAGCCAGCAGTCAAATGGACACCTCGGGCGGTAAGCAGTCTCGCTTTCGGAATCTGCAGGTTCAAGCACTTTACGGTTGAGTATTAAGTTTTCAGCCGTACCCTCCTTATTTCCGCTCCACATGTCTTATCTCTATCCTTACATACAACCACTGCCGCCTATATACTGACAAAGCCTGGCAGAACGCCACGAGAATCGGCCGCCAAAATGGAAAAGGTGGAGCGACAGACAACGGATGAGAGAAGAGCCACATGACTGGCGCCCCGCTGCGACGAGACGCCGAAATACACTTCTCCAGAGCGAACAAGTGTGTTTCGGGTCTTCGCCGCTGCAAAAGCTGTGCGCTGACATCCAGGATCCCCGAGAAATGGCTCTTTGATGCTCTGCTCTACCAGACCCTCGCGCTCCAAATCTGCGACCGGGCACTCTATGGCTCCGTCGTAGAACTGTCAGGCTTTGTGAGTTTAGAAGAGTCTATGAGAACGGCTGGAGCTCTGGTTAGAATGATTTATGGGAAAACCTTAAGCTTAGAACGCGGAACACGTTAGAACGCGGAGCGGCGGCTTCCAATGTTCGACTTTCGCATTCAGACGTGTTCAGAGAGTGCAGTGGAGACAAAGGCTGCTAGCTTTAGGTCTACCCCCTACTCATTCCAACCAGAGCGCGGCGTTCTGACGTCCGCGCGCGCTCTCGTCTCCTCCTCTCCCCCAGCATAGCGTCTGGGGCTGAAACCAAACGTCATTTTTTTCCGTAAAGACTCATTTTAGAAATTGTGTACCAACTTTTGGGGATGAGGACGATTCGTCACATGCGCACTCGTCACAGGACGATTGGTCACAGGACGATTCGTCACATAGGAACATTTTTCAAAAAATGACTCGTCATGCGGGCAACTAGTCACATCGATCGGGCAGGGGACGATAGTAAATTTCAACAACTGCCCACATACCCTGATGAGGAGTTTCACGACTTCCCACTGTCACATAAACCAATGGTTAGAAAAACTAATCTTACAATACTCCTCCGCTTTTACTTTCATTATATTACGAGTCTTCAGCAGGTTGATCTCAGTTGCTGGCTTGAACGAGCAATAATCCCACTGGCAGCCAAATCACTTTTTACTTTCGCCTTACATACCCCTCTTCGAGAAAACCAATAAGTATCGGAATTCTTTCTGCTGAATGTGTACGAGTACCCCTCGCGCAGCATCATGGCTCCACCTCTCTCTGTTGCGATCACCTCTATCCTTTGGAATGTAGTCAGAGTTCAAAAATAGTCGCTCTTATATGGCCTCCGCATTTACCGTTCGGGGCGGACCCAGAAGCTAAAACGTCTGTTACAAATTCTTTGAAATTGAGAAGCGAAAGACATGCTAAGATAAGGGGTGACCAACTTTGTGAGGCCGAACCAACATTCAATGTTCGGGACGGAACCAGAAGCTGAAACGTTTGTTACAAATTCTTCGCCTTTGAGAAGCCAAACACATACTAAGATATGAGGTGAGCCACTTTGTCCGCCCGAATCAAATTGAGCAATACATTTTTGGGGGGACGAACCATTGTGGGACCGGTTGGCCGCGTGACGAGTCATCCTATGACGAATGTCCCTGTGTGACGAATCGTCCTGTGACCAATCGTCCTGTGACGAGTGTGCATGTGACGAATGGACCGTATCCCCAACTTTTGGATTAGATAGCGTCGAATTCCGAAAGTTTATCGTCTTATCCCTCCTTCTTATTCAACATGCCCGTTGTTCGTGGGAAAAGAGAACTTTATTTTTGTCATCGGAAAAATATACCGCGTGTCGCCGAACGATCAATCTACACACACATGTGTAGCGCTAGAAGTTGAGCCGGATACCGGATACCGAAAGTTTTAGAAGTTTCGGTTATCTGATTAAGATATGAGCGACTTCCGGAAATTTTAAATGAAAGCTCGTGCCCGTTTCCTGTACCGGACGCCACTCGTCTCCCCGTATCCGCAGGCTTCGCTGGCCGCCATTTTCCAATTTTCTTGGGCCGGGTTTCCGTCGCCGCTTCTACATCCGGTAATGGAATCGAACGACAAAAAGAAAAACGCAAAAAACTAATAAACGAATATCTCAAAGTCCGTTTTCCCTTCGCGAATTTCATTTACTGGTTTAGCATCTCGTACCGCTCCGAATAGGCTGTTAGAAACGGCCGGCTTAACACGTGCTATAGGATGCGAGCCTTTCCCGTAATATTGAGCGCCGTTTTACAGATTTAATGGCTTGTTTTGCGTAACGCTGTCATATTCGACAGCGTAATTGACGGACACTATTGTGCTGCCGTTGGCTATGAAAATAAGTGAACGAAAATAAAGGTAAATTAAACGCCGAAACTGCGTGCGCGACCCAGGCTGTCAAGCGAAATAAATGCGGATGCAACACGATTATCCTGCAGCAGCTTCATGCCGATACGGACCTGGAGCGCCGGTCGGTAACTGTTAAATTAAGAATTATAAAATTTCTCACCATTCAAAAAAAAAAAAAAAAAATCTCTTCGCACTTTTTTTTTGTGCCGACGCTTTTTTTTTTTTTTTTGTCTTTTTTTTACGCTTATGCCGGGATATGACAGAAATCTAAGCGAGGCTTAGATTTGATCTTGAACAAAACAAAACGCAAAAAATGCGCTACTGATATTGAAGCGTCGGACATGTATGTACAATTTGATCATTTTTAGAACTTATTTTTTTATGTTAATTTGCCGTTTGACGCCTCGGTGTGCTGAAATAAAGTACAGCAAATGTAGAGAAACACCCGAATAAATGAAGTCAAAGCAACTATGCAAGAGTTCGTTGAGAACTTAAATTATAACCTTGAAAAATTGGTAGGGACAGCACAAAAAAACACACAAAAAAGAAGCTCTAAACACAGTTAAATTTTATTTTCACGAGCCACATACATATACAGCCCCACAACCAGAACGAAACACTGCCTGAAGGTCAAATATGCGAGGGAACTTCGAAAAAACTAGGGTTTCATCGGATGTACACATACAGAACGTTGCATGAGCTTCCGCACAATGTGCCGGTGGCTTCGGCCACCCCAGCCGCCACGGTATGCGCACCTGCCTTTTGGCATTCTCAAGGAAAAAAAGAAAAGAAAGAAAAGTGCTCTCAACAAAAAAGTGTTGCATATGCAATAGATAAATTCCACAGTATCAAGCTTTAATGGGAGAAGGAAATCCGAAACAGCAAGTCGATTTCCAACGCTACCAAAACGCTACGCAATGCACTCTACGTCCGGGTAACAGTCCCGAATGGATGGTCGGTTTGTCGTCTGCTATTGAAAGTGGACGCATGATATTTCCGTCTTCTACCCCGCCGAACCCATTGAAATGCCCGGATGTATAGACGGCGCTGAAGTCGAACAAAATGGCGTCTCCCTGAGACCACTTAGTGAACCTATAGATCTTTTTCGCTTACTCTCGTCCCCAGCCACCTCGTACGCATATCCAATATGTACGGCGAAAAAAAAAAAATTTCAACTTGCAAATAGTAAAATATAGAGGGAAGACAAAACGAGAATGGGTGACGGTTGCGCTTATATCCTAACAGAAAACAATGTTTTCGCCCATACTAGAAGGGACGATATTTTAAGATGGCGGCGCCCTTGTGAAAAAGGTCTATACTATACTCTGTTTCACCTTTTGTTGTACCGCAGGAAAGGCTACAAGCGCGAGATCCTTGCTCTGGGGCACATCTCGGCGGTTCAAGATCTCGTGACTTAAGAGCGGCTGCCAACGCTATGAGCTCGCGCTTCTAGCCTTCGCTGGGGTACAATATAAGGTGAAACGAAGTATAGCCAATGCTAATGCAGTGTAAGATCAGCCTTAGAGGTATAATTCGCCCAGTCTATCTGTGCCCTTCTCTACTCTCCCGGAGACAGTGGCGTCGGAACCTCTCAGGAGAGAGGAGGGGAGCGACTTAAGGGGGTAGGGGATGTTACTTCTCTACTCCTCGCATTGTTTACTAGAAACTACTAGGAAAAAGGTCATCGCCTCCCTTCTGCCCTCCATTGTTCCGACGCCACTGCTCAGAGTCGTCTTTCTCTCGCTCTCTCTTTCTCTCTTCCTCCCGGTTGTGTGTATGTGTGCACGTGTGCGTGTGCACGTACGAATACTTTTCTTCTTTTTTTCCGTCTTCCTTTCTCGTTCCAGCGAACAAAATCCAAGGTAGAAAAGACAAAAGGTCAATTTCATCAAAAGAATACCGATTCTCGCTCATCTTCAGCCTGATCTAAATTGTTTTTACTAGATTTAAGGATTTTAGTACAAACTAAATCCACATGGAAAGAATCAAATGAGAGACAAACGATTAACAATAATATATTTCAGATCTTTTTTTTTTGTTTAAAAAGTTTCAGTAAAACCCATAGTGACTGAAATCAGATTTTGAATCACAATTTAAATTCCCTTGATTTTCGTCGTCTCTGATGACTATTTTTTTTATTTATCTTAAAGCAAGTGTACGTTGAGGTTCATGACAGAGTCGGCAGAGCCGAATGGCCCGAAAGCCCCGTCACTAGATGAACGAAAGAGCCGTAAATTGGCGTTCTTGCTTCTGCGTTATGGTGAATAATACTTCGTAAAGGTGTGTCTTCATATCGATAAAACGAATATATGTCTCAACCTGTACTGCGATTCTATTGTCGGTGACAGCTTAAGAATTCCGTAGAATTCTTAACCTCCAGCGCGAGCATTCTGCCTTTGATAAAACTTTGTCTCACGCGCAGCAAAAACTCGGCGGAGCACTGGGCTCGTGCTGTGGAGCATTCTACTGAATTGTAATGGCAAAGTCCGCTGTTATGTCTGGAGAGATCCAAAACTGCTCTATGCTCGCGCGTTCAGAGCAGCGAATGCCATTTCGCGTTTGCACGTGCCTGAAGATATCAAGAAAAAAGCGCTCCGAAACCGCTCAAAATCTACAACTTTAATTTGCCTTTCATCTGTCGCCGATTATAGAGTTGTTAAGAGTACAGTCTCGCACGGTTGTTCAGCTTACAGGTTTAAATAGACAAGAATACAGGTTAGTCGAAGCTAAAGTCACCTTAGTTGAAACTACACCATTCACTGCTTATGCGAGTCTAGACATTGCATAAATTCGACAGTTCATGATCATAGAAAAAAAAATCTTGAAGCAAATTTGCAAAGCGTTTTGGCGAACTTCCAGACGCTTACTATTCCCGAGAGATCATTAGAAAATTACGCCGAATGGCAACGAGACAGAAACGGACAATTAGCGAATAACCAACCATCAGAACAGCGTCGCATGGTGTGGTGTGTGTGGACGTAAAATAGTATTTCGAGAAGTTAGCGTTTGACTATGTTGTGAAGCCTTACGTCAAGTCACGACTGCTATAGTCACCAGGACATTAGTACTTCGTAAGAATCGTGGCAACTAATTTAAGGAGTGACTTTGCCCACGACATACGAAGCACGGATATGTCCCGGCGACTGGTGGTCGCACTACAACGTAACGTACGAAAACGTAAAGCCGCCGTCACGCTCCTCGTACATGATACAAAAGACACGGAGTTTCTCTGCAAACATGCTGACATATTTATGAGCGGAGGCGCCTCAGTTCTAAGCATCTTTGTTTCATGTATGCTTAAAACATCTCTGAAGACAATATTTTTCTTACACATACAAAGAAAAAAAAAACACGCCTCGTGTCTGTGGACAATGCTTTGTATGACGTATCAGCAGTGCGATCCCGACTTGGGCGAACGCTCCCGAGTCTCATCTCAGCGCAGTGAAGTCGCAGTACGGCGTGTGAAAGGACCTTGAGAGCGACGCGAGCCCCGCGGCGACGACGCGGCGCACTGACCTGGTCGGAATAGGGCATGGCAGTCGACGGCCAGAAGCAGCGTGAGCAGTAATCCTGGGGTCAGTCGGAGACAACGGTGCTCGGATGCGGTGCCCACCATCACGGGGCCACTGGGACGCAGTCGTGCGGGAAAACCGGTTGCCCCGACGCGCGTCCGACGACGAAAAAGACGTTGCAAACGGATGCTAGAAAGGATTGGGCGATAGCGACGTTGTTTTCCGCACCTCGCGTAGGCGCGCCGCGTCAACTTTCGCCCGAGTCGGCGGCCAATTGCGAAAGTAGCCGGAGAAAGAAACGACTCCCGGGAAACGCCACGCTGATCGTTCCCGTCGCTTGACCTTGACGAGAACGGGCGGACGAGCTGGGGGGTTTTTCTCGGGTCGTGCTCTAGCGAAGTCACACCACGAAACGCGCAATGTTTGATTCACTCGAGGTTCGTGTTTTACATTTGGCAAGCACCGAGCAAAGACTCGAAGCTGTTTGAAGCGGGAATGTTGTCGGTTTTCCGCACTGCGGCGCAGCATCCTTTTCCACACCCTTTTTACACCCTTCACAAATCAGGGGGTGTTCCATTCAGCAGCACCCTGATCGACATGTGGGTGCCCCCCACACCCTTTTTACAACCTTTACAAATTATGGGTATTCCACTCAGCAGCCACCTACTTCACTATTATAAAAAAAGTGTATTACTCGGCATACGGGCGCTGAAGAGGTGAAACCGTGGGTGTAAGTTTCCGGGACGCACCTTTTACGCGCACAAGGGTGTAAATTATCTTACGGCGTATTCTCTGGAGACAGCAACTCATTTAGCGTCGCCGCGATCTGTGAAGCGTGTAGGTGGGCATAAGAGAGTTTTATTAGATCGCTCCTATAGCGATAGCCATAAGGATACGTCACCAGCGCATTTACGCAATCTTTCTATTGTTATCGGGTATCGTTACCGAAGCGCAAAAACAGTCTACTAAAAATTCCTAGTGTCGTGCAGAAGTATCGGATCATTTCAATTCTGCAGCACGATCTCCGCTAATTCCAAGTGCGTTTCTTACCCTTTTTTGCAATACCAGTTTGCTGCAATGGAGGAGTGCGTAGCGGAGCTGACGGAAAGGCGGAGAGCATTGCTTTACCAGTAACACTGGAGAAAAGATGAAGAATTCGAACGGTATACAGCCAGACAGCAACCTCTTTTTAGCGGTCAGCTTGGGTTTAGGAAAGCTTTTCTGGAGATTCGCCGGGTGATAACGGCTATGGAGAAGGTTTCCTGTTATGATAAAGGAACATTTTTTTTTTAATCACGCGTCATATTTTAAACAAGGAACAAATCGTTTGAGTTTCTTCTAAGGTCTAAATGAACGCTCAAAAACCGAGATGAGGTCAAAAACCTCTTTTAAGATTTCATCAGCTCGTGGAAGTTGCAATTTCTGCCGAAATAAAATTTATAAACTATAATCGCATTGGCGAAGAGGTACTTATTTTAAAACAGCGTACCCTAAATAAATATTCTGATTTATATGCGATGTATGAAGCTTCACTTGGTGATTTGACGCCAAAATTTGTTTAAATGTTTTATAAGTTATAACCTACAGCGTACGCAACCTGACCTATGATAGTTTGCATTTTGTATAACACGTAAACTGTTACGGCTCATGGGAAGCCTTGTTTAAACCGAACCAGAGTTTCGAACCGAAGCCGAACCGGACCGAAAACCGGAGCCGAACCATTATTTTTAGACGAATCGGAACTGAACCGAACCGAAATCTTTGACGCCATCTTGGAACTGAACTGGGATTGAACCGGAAAAAAATATAACGGTAACCGGTTCAAAACGGTTTCACGGTTATTTTCTTTTCTTTTTTGTTAGTATCACAAAGTGAACATTTGACAATAAAAAAATTGGCAGCTGTATTTGTATGTACTGATCAAATCGCCATATAGAGAATTGCACTGTATGAGAAATTGTGGGTTTCGTTGCGCTTTTGTATTGGCACTATGATTGATCATCTGTCGCGTAGTCGCGTGACTTTGTGACGTCAAGACATGCAGTCAAGTAATTCCACGTCACGTGGCCCCGTGACGCAGTCACGCGAGTCACTGCGTCAAGTCGATTTAAACTGAGAACGTCACTAAATATTAACATTGTTGACACCCTGATGTCACATGACATCACGTACCCCGTGTAACGTATTCGATTGTCATGAGCATGAGTCGAGTGCTCTAGTTCATGACAATCAGCATCGTTAAACATTGCAATGGCTCGTGTTCAACCAAACATGAGACTAGCCTAACACTCACAATGTTTGAAGCTCAGCCCATGCTCTTTGCTTTGCCGCTTAATGGCGGTATAAAATTAGCGTCATATCACGTGGTCACTTGTTCTAAATGCGATTTGAGGAAGGCAAAGCTATTTCTTTCCTTTATTTTCGTACCTGTCTACCAATGCGCAGAGAGGAAAAATAATAGGAGTTTTTCCAAGTTATCAAAGTCAGGGATTAGTTCTTAGCGGCATTTACTAAAAGAACGAAAATCGTTGCACGATCCATTTTACATGTACGGACTACTGAGGCACCAGAGCACGTTTTTGTTGTTTCTGAACTGTCTGAGAAAGTTGTTCTCGAGAATAGAAGCCTCGAAATGACTAAATGTGACTTATTAATCAGACGTTACATAACTACAAGTGTGTACGGGAGGGATACGAGAAAAGAAAAGAAAAGAAAGGGACAACCGAAAGTTGGCAAGCTCTCCAAGCCTCACAGGAGTACCATTCTCTTATTTCCAAAGCTTTAACCACTTCCGTATTTGCTTTAAACTTGACCGTTTCTTGGTGCAAAATAAAAGCAATTGAAGATTACTGTTAACAATGCCACTAATATAATTGCCCAATGAACACGCCCAAACAGAGGAGGGAGTCCCTCAGAAATAAAATGTATTCTTTGGAGGAGCAACAATGAAACAAAAGGGGGGCAGAGGGTATCTTTAAACACATATTGCGTTGTATAGGTTCGTCTGCACCGCATCTTCGGCACAGACCACAAAGCGTGGCCCCGGAAATCACTTTGTCTGCAAAGACCATCGCAGAAATCGCTTTTTCGTGGTGCCAGCTGCGCCCTCGCCGTTCCTCTCGACGCTGCACCGAGCAAGAAGAATTTGTATCTCTCAAATACGTGTCTTGCACTGAGCGCGAACCTTCTGCAGCGTTCATTTTGCACCATCAAATTTGATATTCTCGGCAAGAACATATCGCAATGTCCACCAGCATACGAGGTGTCATCAAAAAGTTCCGGGACTGATTTAATAGCGTAAAACGAAAGGGCAGCAAGGCGATGCGAGCGAAGCAGTCGAAGGAAGGGACCTTCGAGCTTCGTATTGGCGACGTGCGCGACCGAAAGCGTCGCTGTGGTCGGCCTTCCACGATTGGCCCAAAAGCTGACTATGACGTCGGAAAGGGTATACCATCGACGGAAATAAGAGGAATGAAAGAACTTTAATTTCGACGGTGTTGGCAGTGTTACTTCGAGAGCGCAATGATTTCAGGCTTCCAGCATGCTATTTACAAACACCATCGAACTTGTTGTTCGCAAGGTAATGACGTCACAAGGGGGAACCATAGGAGGGCGCCACCGAAACATCTCGCCGCTAATACCAAAGGGCGTAGCTCTGTGAACACTTGGAGTAGAGTTCCTCTACAGGCTCCCTACGGGAGCCAGAGTCGCGCGTCTGTTTTGGACGTGCCGCCGCGCCGCCATTCGCCGAATACAGTCACGTGAGCGAGCAGACTCCGGATGCCGTGCAGGAAAGACGGCGCAACGGGGTTGAATGCGGAACTTTGGCTCCCGAAGCGAGCCTATACAGGAACTCTAATTTGGAGCTGCGCTACACGAGTTTTTGTGACCGCATGTACGGGAACAATAGCGATTACACCATATACTGCAAACCAGAGCGAAAGCGAACATGAATTCTGCGTTAAACTCGGAAAATAGAAAACAGAGACTAAGCTTTGAAATGATTCAGCAGGCCTGTCAAAAACCAGTGAATTCTGCGAGGTGTTTTAAATGGGCACTCGCTCTTCATGAACGGCAGAACATTGGAAGACGAAGAGCGGTAGGGCGACTTTATCCGACCTCAAGGTCCTTGACTTCAGTGACGTTCTGCCATTCTTGAGGCGCGAGTGCCGCTCAAAACACCTCGCACACCTCACTGCTTTTTGACATGTCGTCTAATTATTTCAGAGGTCTCTGTTTTAGACTTGCCGAGTTTGACGTAAAATTGAAGTTCGCTCTCCCTTTGGTTTCCAGTCTATAGAGAGATCGCCAATATGTTCGTGCATGTGGTCAAACAAACTCGTGTAGCGCAATTTCAAATGTTCCTAGGGCGACGCCCTTTTGGCACATTGACAAAGGAAGGTCCCTGCCTTTGACTGCTGCGCATGCCTCACTCTGCTATCCTCTATTTTTACGCTGAAAAATCAGTGCCGGAATTTTTTTACCAGACCTCGTGTAGTGAGATAACGTCACGAGCAAACAATGTTAAACACTTCTGTTTCCTCGTGTCAAGCCGAAGATTCTTACGTCCACAAATTATGGAGCCTGCTCAAAAATAAACTTCTTGACCTTGTCGAAAAATACATCCCAAGCATAGATTCCACTATAGGCTTAAGACACGAAAGAAACTATGGATAGCATCAGCCGTTCTTCGATTAAGGAAAAAAAAAAAAGGTGAGCATTTATCAGGCACAAAAAAAAAAGCAAAAGCGATAGGCAGTTGCAGAAGTTATTGGACATAGTACAGAAATGCGATTTCAATTTCAGGGGCGCAAAGGTCCAATACTTAGAAAACTCACTGACAATATGAAAACTAGCTCTAAACTTTATACTTTTTTTTTAATACTGTATGTTGCGAATTATGGTTTGGATTGTGTAGGAATTAGTGAAATTGTGCAAAATGAGCGGGTAATTTTAGACGACACCGAGAAAGCCGCGTGTTTAAATATTATCTTTCAGTTCGTTTTCTTTTTGCCTAAATGCAGTTACAACTATTCCTTGTACGTGAGTGATGTTCCCGAAATACGACCAGTCGAATTTAGTGTAAGTGGCATTGACGCCTTATTGCAGAACATCGATGAAACCAAAGCCAATGGTCCTGATAGCATTTCATTATTTATTAATTTATTTATTTGGAAATACTACTGGCTCCACTCAAGGAGCCTGAGT